GTTTTTCGAATACTTTCACTTTTCAGGGAAAAAATCGCATTCTCAAAAATATTTCCGCGAATCTTACAAGCGCTATTACTGCCAAATCAATAATAATCATAACAAAAACAACCAAAACACCTTCAAACGCTGAATGATCTCATCCTGCTGTCGAATCTTGTTCGGAAGTTCACTCATTTGTTGCACGCGTTCCGCGAGTTGACTGCATTTTTGGGATAGTTTCGCCTCTTTTTCATTCCATTCATTCACCTAAATGATTGAATGAATGAAATGAAACTATTAAAAATGGAATGAAAAACAAAAAATTTAATAACTAAAACAATAAAACTTAAAACTGAAATAATAATGACAAAACAAAATAAAACTGAAATAAATAATAATAGTAGTAAACCATTTCATTCAACCAATTCTCCTGTATTTGTCCTGCTTTGCTAATCGCCTTATCCCTCATTGCCTCATCCAGCTTCCTTTTACGCTCCAACAACGTCTCATTCATACGTGTCAATGCAGTCTGATCACGTTTCAGACACATCTCTTCATGTTGCATCTTTCTACAGCCAACATTAATTTCATTCAATAATAATAATAACGATGACAATAAATAATAACAACATTACTATTAAAAAATAATAATATTACTATTGTTATTACATTGAGAAATTCGACTTTGCCGTTTCCAATTGATCTTTTTGAGCTCGTAAGTCACGCTTCTCGGCTTCAATAAGACGCCATTCTTGTTGCAATTTCAACTGGTATTTCTTGAAAATGATAGTAAAATAAAACAATAATATTTACGACACAAACATTATCACATGGAAAAAACTCATTATCACACATCTAAAAAACTTCGTTGGGAAATTGAATTTGAAAAAAAAAACAGAAAGGATTTCAAATTTTAAATTGTTCTTTTTGACAAACCTCTTGTTCCAGTCTGAAATCCTCCTTTAAACGTGTCTCCAACTTCCTTAGTTCATCCTCTTTACGTGAAGCCAGTTCTGTGTACTGCAAATGAAATACTCTACGCATGAAACGTTGCGATCGTGATCTCATGAATCCTTATGCGTATCAAATACAAAACGTGCTGATTTTCGCTTTTCTTTCACATATTTCTCGAAAAGTTTTTTTTGAGATATTCACTGAATTTGTAAACATCCGATGGAATTTTTTAAACTTCTGAAAAAAACAGTTGTAAATTATCACTAATTTACATACTTGTGTGTGTTTTGCATCAATACTTTGCTTGTATTCTGCCCTCAGCTTCTCCAACATTTCTTCCAGCTGTTTTTCCTCGCTCTTCTTCCACGCCTGTAGTTTCAACTCGTATTTTCGTTCCAGCCTTCGCCACAACTGCTCGGATAGTAAACGCACTTTCGCACAGTCCAAACCCTAAAATTAACTGGTACTCAGTAAATCAATTATTTCTGAATTATTCATTCAGAATTGTGCAAATTGTCTACGATACGAATTCACCAACAAATATAATTCTACCAAATGATACATACTTTACGTAGAAATAAATGGGCATATGGGAGAGTAGCCCAAAACCTTTGTACTTGCCAAATCAATAATTCAAGTTCGGATTTCATGAAGACAGATGATTCCAAACGCTATTATCGTTAGCTGCGCGGAAAGAAGGATGCCAAGGAAGGAAGAATGTGATATTAGTGATATTGGTAATAACAGAGAGGCATAAACTCGTAATGAGTTTGATTTGCTGATTAAATAAAAATACAAACTTTGTTCATTCATCCATACATTTGCTTTTCTTCCGAACTGGCAATGATTATCTATTGTACCAAAACGATTTGAAAAATAAAATTGGCATCTACTAAACACTAACTAACAACCGCAGTCACATCTTTTCGATAATAATATAATAACCAATGATAAGCATTAAAGCGAAATCGCTAGTAAAACTGTATCGCCAAGCAGCGAAATCAACTTTTCGTTATTTCACTCCGCAGCGATAAAATAGTGATAGCCACTACTGTCCATCTCTGCCTTAACATTATTACGATAAATACAATAATAACATTAATAATCATTGTTTAACATTACTGATCACATGTGAATATTGCAAATCACTAACTGGAGTGGTCGATTGTGCGATTGGTTGTTGACTAGCAGATGATGA